TTAAATGAAAATAATAACAATTACTGTCTCTGTATAAAACATCACTTCCACGGAAGCAAAAAAAATCACTTAGTGCTACTTTTGAAGTGGTGATAAATGTAATTCTTTAGGAAGTTCTTCGTTTTACCACTGAGCTACAGATTTTTATTTGGATTGGACTAAAAGTAAAAATGGATTGATGTTGTCCAGAGTTCACAAAAACCTGTAAGATCTAAAATTGAAAATTTAATTATCTCTTTAATACAGGTATTACTTGATATAAAGGTATGATTTGATATTTTGAAGTCGAAACATACATATGTATATACTTAGGAGAGTGAAAAACTTCCCTGTAGAAAAAAGTCAAAAAGTCGGAAATTTTAAAAAAGTGGAAAAAAAGTCAAAAAATTTAAAATAGTCGGATAAACTCGAAAAAGTCCAAAAATAGTCGAAAAAAATTTGAAAGAAGTCGATAATAGTCAAAAAGTCGAAAAAAATCGAAAAGTCGTAAAAAGTTGAAAAAATCGGAAAAAGTCGAAAAAAGTCGAAAAGTCGACTATTTATAAAATACTTATAGTCGAAAAGTCTAAAAGTCGACTTTTAATTAAATGAAAAAATTGAAAAGTCGAAAAATCGAGTGAAGTTAGTAAGCTTAAAAATAAATTTCGAATATAATAGGTATTGGATGAGTTTGTTATGTATGCGTTTATTTGACGGTTAATTTGTGGAAATAAACTTTTAATTGAAATTTTGGAAATATTATAGATTTAGTTTAAAAAAACTTTTGACTGATAAAATTAAATTTCAAGTTGTGGACAATTTTTATTATTATACAAAAAAATATATTGATCGATTCACATTTTAACGTTCACTTCAATCTTAAAATCTTGCACGAACATGATTGAAATTGTCAACTATAGGCGATCAACAAAAATATAGATACATACGCACTTATATGTCTGTAAAAGTTAATATATTTAGCTTACTCCATTTTTTAGTTCTTGTATATTTGTATATTTTTGTCATGGAAACATGTATAACCATATACGGACACCACTGCGTGATAAAAGACAAAAAAAGACCCACTTTTTTATAGGCCCCCAATGATTTGGCCTTAGTGTCATTTTTGCGAAAAGGTGATTTTTTCCACGCTAATATCTTACAAGCGGTCCTGAATTTTGATTTAATCTCTGAGGAAAAGTTGTAGCACTTGTCATAAAGAAAAAAATTGTGGACATATACATTAGGCTTCGTTTCAAAAAACAAAACATTTCCATTTTTGTGATATCACAACTTTTTAGAAGGTTTTTGTATCTGTGATCACTATGCTGTAATAATTTTTTAAAAATTCCAACTCCTTCCTCTGCTTATCTGAGGCGGAAACCACTTATTTTGTGCGACATTTTTTACAGAGCAGAAATTACAGAATTTATAGGAAATCATGCTCTAATAATTGATTTTATAGGACAAATGGTGCGAAAACTATTTTATAATTAACCCTTTAGATGTGATGAGACTTTAAATTTTCAGATTTTAAACTTTACAACGCTATATTTCGAAAACCACGAAAGTTATAAGACCCAAAATTTGTCATTATACGAGTCATATATGGAACATTAATTAGGTGGAGTTTTATTAAATTCGGAGATGATGATGAAAAACACCATCGTTTGATGGGAAATTATTAGAGTCCGACAGAACTCAAAATTTCGTTCGGTACCGAACACCGAACCCGAACTTCGGTACATTTGAAAGTTCGGCCGAACCCGAACTTTGTTCGGTTTTCAAAGTTCGGTGAACACGAACTCTTTTTAAATGAAAAATAATACTTTTTTATTTTTGGTTTTTAAACGATTTATTGACAATGATATAATTATCTGTAAGAGCACGCTGAGAAAAAACACGGTTGTGATAACCAGTTCTAAGAGCAACATATTATGATTAAAATTATGATTGTAGTCTAAACATATTATCGTTATTGTAACAATTTTAAAATATCATATGATTAAATACCCTCAAAATATTTCATCATGATATTTTTGTATTTATCATAATATTGTTATACATAATATTATGATCCAATGTGATCAAAATTTCGTTTTAAATATGTATCGAAATCAAAATGAATTTTATCGAATCAGTAAAATTAGTTTTTAAAAAAATAAAAAATATATATACAATACTTAACACAATTCGCAAACTTCAATTTGCCAATTTATATGAAATTTTGGTTCATAAAAAAATTTAAGTATAATTTCATAAAAATACTAGTATTTTTAAGCCTGTTATGAACGTTAGTAATTTTCTAAAGCGAACATTATATGTAGGCCATGTCCAAATGTATACCGATTTTGTCCATTTTGAATACCAATCAAACTGCAACAATAGTTTAGGTCCTATCGTTCTTTCAAGAGACTGACTGACTGACTGACAGACATGTCTAGATCGTTTGAGAATAAGAACCTAGAAAATTTCGATGTTACAAATGAAATCAAAGATTTGTAATCGAAACTAGATAATTCAAATTAAATGTTTCACTTTTCTTAGCTTTTTAATCAGTTTCTGGTTAACAGTTTTTCAAATCAGCCGAAAAAACGAACGGTTAAAAAGGCGTTTTGTACCTATGTATGTATATCCGAAATTTATTGTACAGCCAGGATGTATGATAACTTCTGTAAACAGATTTTCAGCATTTTTAAAACTTTTTGATGATATAAAAATATGATAAAAAACATTTTATAAAAAGTTCGGCGTTCGGTCAAAATTTCGTCGAACACCGAACATTGATGAAACATGTTCATCAGTTTTCGGTCTATCAAAAAATGTCGCCTAAAATCGGTATTTTGTCCGCAGATATGCAGATGAAGGAGTTGAAATTTTAACAAAATAATTACGCCAATATCAGCGTTGATCCAAAAACTTTCATAAAAGGTATGATATCACAATTTCAAAAATATTGCGTGAAGCCTAATATACATACATAAAATCAATAAACTTCATAATTTTTTTTTCATTCCAAGTGGAAAATTTTACATTGTGAAATTGTACTGCTTTTATTAACAACGACTGTACGTATACATGTTAATGATTTATTGATATTACAAATATTAAATTCTAAACAGTTTGAAAGATATGAGCTTGAGAAAATTTTCCATTGGGGCCCATTAGGGTGGTTTTATCTCATAGGGTAAAAAAAATGTCCCCCTAAAATGTTTCTTTCTGTCAGATTTTAGGATTTCCAAAGTTTAAACACACTTGGAAGATGTTAACCCGTGTAACTGGGGCCTCAAAGTTTTGAAAATCTCGATTTTTTGGCAGTTTGTCGACTTCGGCGACCCATATTTTTGGAACTGCTAAAGCTATTTGCCCGTGTCATACAACAAATTAAAGACCTTACTATTTATAATATTTTATATTCTACGCAATAAATCCGCAACTAGAACTGAAACCGAAAAATCTATCTATCTAATGTTCTTAAAAACGTGACTAGGTACCCCTGAGAACGAAGATGCGTTATTTGTATTATTATTGTTTATTATGGACAAATACTTTTACTTTGGAATCTAATTTCATTTAAATATGTTTGTTATAGTAAACCGTTAATTTTAGACCCACAGGAATGTTTGGAAGCACATATGGACCTCAACCAGACATAGAGGTTTCAAAAAGAATAGTCGGCGATTAATAAATCCAAGTTCGATGAAGGCGAAAATGTTTTGGAACTACTGTCCAAAGATGAAGTAGAAAATATCAAAGCACTGTAAAGAAAATTAATGGCCAAGAGACGACTACAATGAGCTGTTACAGTTGGCAGTGATATATCTTGGCCATCTTGATGGAAAAGATGTACACTTCAGGTCTCCAAGTCCAGTACACCATGTCCGGTGGATGACAAAACCTATTTACTGTCTGAAAATAAAACTCTTCCGTCACCAGTTTAAGCTGACTTCCCAAGAACAAGAGGCCCTAGAAGCACTTCCTGTTTTCATCGTCCGAGACTACTGTAAATCAAGCAGAAGAAAATTAGAAGTGCTCCAGAAATATGCGACCCAAACTAAAAAAAGAACTGCCGAAGTTCCTAGAAAAAGGGCTCCCAGCCCTAATTACAAGTGAGACTTACCTGTTTTTCAAGAAATTTAATATTAACGCCACTGAAATTCTACATAAAGATCCTGCAACTTGGAGAGGCAAAGAACGGTAAACAACTTGAAGGTTGTGAACGACATGGCAGAGCGAGGAATCAAGCTAGGGCATAACAGATTACAACCAATTACTTACAAAGGACGAGCAACAAAAACTATATTTTAGGCCCCAGTGGCACATGTTAACATCTTTTAATCGTGCTCAAACTTTTGCAATCTTAAAATCTAACAAAATTAAACATTTCAGAAATCCGACATCGATTTTTAAAACCAGTCTAAAAGCCGGAAAAAGTCGAAAAAAGCTTTTTACTTTATACGAAGTCGAAAATTTTAGGGTTTTTCCAACAGTTTAAATTAAGTTAAATTTTTTTAATAAAAAATAAAATTCTTCATATTTTTGCTTCAAATATGAAGAAAAATACTTTTTGTATTTTTGTATATACGAAATATGTAGTAACTTATTTTCATTCGAATTGAAATTACGTTTTGATTGTGAAATTACATTCAAATATTTATTTCCTTTCGGAAAAAGTCGAAAAGTCGGAAAAAGTTGACTTTTCGTAAAACACAAAATTCGAAAAATCGACTTTTCATAAATCGCAAAAAGTTGAAAAATCGACTTTCATAAAAAGTCAAAAAGTAAACTTTTCAAGTCATCTGGTAAAAATAAAAAGAACTAGTAAAAAGTGGGTTAAAAAGTCCTAAATTTTGTATTATTAAATTTTTTGAGTTGAGTTGGTTCCCAAAAAAGCGTTGAGTTGGTTCCCAAAAAAGCGTTAATTAAGTAAAAAGCCTTAATTAAGTACTTTCCAAAAATACATTTCATTCCATAAGCAATCAAAAAGTATTAAATTGTAAACTAGTGTAATTATAACATACCTTTTCAAGAATTTCTGCGACAGCACATATAAATTTAGGTGCAGTTGATGGGTGGCATTTTATATTAAGATATGGTTCGATGGTTATAGCGTGTCTTACTAATAATTGCGGACGAACTTTGGCTAGCAAATGTAACGTTGTAATACAGCCTAACATTCGTTCATTATCTGTATCTTCCAATTCAATTAGACGTTCAACCAATCCATCGGCTAATTGTTGACAAGCAAGAACAATCTCTTGGGGAGGTTCAGTATTTTTCTTAACAGGATCTTGATTATTTCCGTCCAATTTTAACATATTTTCCTTTGGTTGAAAAATCTATATTTATATATGTATAAAAAAATACAATTAATTAATGTCTATATTAATAAAAAAAATATTTTTTTTAGATTAGAAAAACATGATATTAAATAAAAAATACTCTTTAGTGTTAAAAACAAATTCTTATAATTACATTACAACTACTAAGCTATGCACATACTATGTATTAGGGGGCCAATCCAAAATGAATCCCGGGATTTGTTTACAATTTTTTTTTTAGCGGTAATTTTCAATAGTTTGAAAATTACGACATTTTTTATTTTTGACTTATTTTTTACATACTACACAGTTTTATTGAGGGGATAGTCGCCTGACACTTTATATAAATTGATTTATTCATTTCGTTTTTAACACATCGAAATGTTGGTCGTAGACCCAAAAAGTGTACACATTCTGTGTCTGTAAATTGAAAAAACTAACTGAAAATCACATTGATGCACATATTAATATCAATACATTACAATATTTTGACAGTGGGTATTTAATTTCGGCACAGTCGAATACAAACTTTATTTTTCAATAGAAGATTTTGTATTTCAAACTTTCTACAAATCTGAGTGATACCGGTAAAGGTAAATTACCTTGTTCTGAATTTACATAATATTTTAAATAAATACTACGAATATGTTATGTTTCAAAACTAATATGTAAATTCCAAATATTTTTTAAAGAAAAGGTTTTAAATTGATGTTCGAATAATTGAATTGGGGTGTGTTATAATTACACTGTGTAACGCTCAAAAATACTCATTATGCGATATAATGCTTTTTATAGACCTACATAGATGAGTAGATTTTCTTTACCATTTTACCATCTTCAATATACTCTAAAAATCGGAAGATATTGGAAAAAACAATTTTTTTTTTTGACTTGACGGACTAAAAAAATTATATCTCAAAATTTTCTTAACCAATTTAATATTTTTCAACTGTTTTGAAAATATTTTCCTCATAGGAGGGATGTCCTTTTTATTTGAGTTCAAATTCACTACATCTGAAGTCATTCTCAAGAAGTAGTTTTAATGCTCTTTTTCGGAAGTTATTTGGGAGTGAAACTATAGTATTATAGAATAAAACTAATTTGACTTAAATAATATTAACATTAATAAGGGTAATAGAAACATTAAATACAAAAGCCCAAATATAAAATTTTTTATCTCATAAAAATTAAAGAACAAAAAATATATCTTCAACATTAAAAAAATAGAATTATTTTCGCTTCTTCGGAAGTCTTTAAAAATCACTTCCTCAGAAGGCAAAAAAAAATCATTCAATGCTACTTTTGAAGTGGTGATAATTGTTATTCTTTTGAAAGTACTTCGTTTTATTTTTGCTGGGTTTATTTGAAAACATAGTTTTTAAATATTTTTTTATTTTAGCTCATACTTCTACGAATAAAATATGATATGGAAAGTTAAAATCTGATAAAAACTGACAAAAATAGAATTTTTTCTTAAAAACAAAAATTTACCAAATCTCTCATTGCTAAATAAATTATCCATTTGAATAATAAAGCTCATATTTGAGTTGCATATCTTACATTGATATTATACTTTAGCAAAGAGATATTTGGTAAATTTTTGTTTTTTATCTGATTTAACGTTCCATATCTTTATGCATAAAAGTATATATAAAAATAAAAAAATATGTTTTTAAATAAAGTGTGGATCAAAAATGATCTTTAATTGTAAAAAAAATATAAAAATTTGTATTTAGATCTAAATATTTTACACATTTCCGTAAGAAATGTAAAACTGTGTGTACTTTTTAAAAACTACAAAGGAAACTCTTTTCAAAACAGTTGAAAAGTATTAAATCGGTTAAACAAATTTTGAGATATAATTTTTTTAGTAAATATGTCTAGTCAACTAAAAGCGTTTTTTCCAATATCTTCCGATTTTTAGGGTATATTGAAGATTCTAAAAATGGTACTGTGATCTACTCTACTAGACCTACCAACATCACTAGGTCTCGCGATAAATGTATCGATTTTTTGTGATTTTGTCACACCATGTTATTAGTTCACATGGAGGTTTTAAAAAGTGCTTACGTCTAATTTCGGAACTTGATATTTATTTTTATTTAGGAAGTATGTAGTTAAATAGTTTCAGATTTGGATTGTTTTAATTTAAATATATTTCCTATCTGCTAAATTTCCACAAAATTAAACAATTTTCTTTACAAACATGATGATTTAAAGATTTTCATATATAAAATAATTAAATTTATGTAATCCAAAAATCCCGAAATATCCCGGTATTGCTATTTCCAAAATCCCGAATCCCGGGATTTGTAAAAGCTAGCCCCGTTTGGCATCCCTACTATGTATGTCTAACAGGTAGATTAGAGGTGTCCAAAAATATCGATTTTGCTCAGATGGATCATATATTGTTTAATAGTGTCTAAAACTAACTGGTATAAAATTTTGTTGTTGTTGTTTTCGTGCGTCTGCATTAAAAAAATACTAATTTTTTGACGAAACTTTCCGAGGTTGTCTCAGTTCATATCTCCGTTATTTATGAACCGATTTGAAAATTGATTTCAACATACACACAAACAGACAGACGGACATGGCTTAATCGAATCCGCTATCTATAAGGATCCAGAATATATATACTTCATAGGGTCGGAAAATTATATTGTAGACATTACAAACGGAATGACAAACTTACATATACCTTTCTTACGAAGGTGAAGGGTATAATAAGTAAATATATAATTATTTTGATGAACTTTCAAAATTTGTATTGTGCTTCCATCGCCAATGTCATAAATGAAACTATTAGAATGAACGGTCTTTTGAGACAGATATTAATCATTCCTACATCTCATCATCAAATTAAGTGATGACGAATTTTTGTTCACAAGACTTGAAATAATAAGTCCATTAAATTTTGTGGTCAAGAGTAGTTCCATGTTGTAGAAATAAACACTTAGGGCCAATCTTTAGGTGAAAAATTAGCGATTAAATTAAAATTAATCCTCGAAAGTTGTTTTTGAGTACTCAATTAGTTAATTTTGTTTGCAAGTTTAAGCGCCCAATTAGCGATTAAATTAAAATTAATCCTCGAAAGTTGTTTTTGAGTACTCAATTAGTTAATTTTGTTTGCAGGTTTAAGCGCCCAATGGAGGTGGTTTAAACTAAAGCATGAAATGCAAAAGTGTAAACAGCTGATGTAAAAAAAAAATAATACAATTTTTATATATATATACATTAAAATGTTCCATTTATTGATTAGTATAAATTATGGATACTTTAAAATAATTTTTTTTTCGTTCTAAATTTAAGTTTTTATTAATTTTCATATTAAATTTACAATTGACTTTTTCTGCTGTTTTGTATGGCAACACTGCGAAGTTTAATCTTGTACTCAAAAACATCAAAGGGGATTAACGTCAGATTAAATTTAGTTTTAGATAACCTAATCGGATTGTTAATTCGCATTAGATTGCAAACTCAAAAAAAGTTTAAATTTCTCAAAAAACTGATTGAAGCCAACCAGTTTTTTTTTACAACTTTTGGATATTATGAGGGCGGCTTACAAATGAGAAAGTGAATTCTACTAATGTAGGCTGTATACTCTTGTTGGATGATTACAGTCCATTTTTAATTGTTTTGCAAATTACACTAGTTTACAACGATTTTGCTCATGATATAAAACATATATAGATTTCTTTATTTAGGCCGTCTAAGTCCAGAAAAATTATTTAAAAAAATCTAGGACGTAAAATTTTTGAATTATTCATAAAGAAAGAATATGTTAAAAAAGGGTTAAATTAGGTAGAAATAATTAAATATTTAGGGTTGTAGTTATTTTTATATTAAAAATTTTACTGGTCTTCCACACAACTCTCTAACAATGGATTCCTGTCACAAAAATATAAAAAATTACGTTGCAATAATCTTAAATCTTGCCATTTTTATCACTCACACTTCCAAGAGTTTTTCGGAAAAAGTATAAGTGGGAATGTAAGAAATGAACTATGAGGGATAAATTCAGATCCGTAAGTTTGTAATTCAGGAATAATAATTTTTTCAAATTTTATTTGTTTTTTAATTTTTTAAAAAATTTATCAAAAAAAAAAATGACTAAAAATCGGGATAAAAATAAAGAAATCTGGTAAAAAGTGGTTTAATGAAGACGTAAATTTTATACATATTATTGAATTTATTTTCTGAGTTGATTGTAGGTTCCCAAAACAGGTGCAAGCACCCAAAAACAATTCTCATTTTCAAATATTTTTCCATCACTACTGAAGAAGGATGCTTAACAAAAACCACTTTATCTCAAATATTCGACGTATAGGAAAAAAATAAAAATTGTTAATTAACCACCGGACATAGCCCTTTCCAAAAATATATGTGTCATTCCATGAGCAAACAAAAAATATTAATTTGTAAACTTGTGTTATAAGTAAAAAATTACATGGTCGCAGTTTTTTTTTACAAAATTTGCAATTTTTTGGATATGATATTTGCTGCTCTTCGGTTATGGAAAATTTTGAAATAAGAGAAAATAGACATTGAAATTCGCGTCCTTTGATGTATATCTTCAAAATGTGATCTAGAAGTTATCACTGTGGGAGAAGCTTAAATATTGGAGAAATAAACGTGAAAGTTTTGAAAAAGGGCCTTTTTCGCGAAGCACACTAACAGCATAACTTCAATATACCCAATATATCGCGTGATCGAAATAATTTTAAATTTTACATTTGAAAAATATTAGCGTGCTGAGATGTAAGAGCGAATTCCAAAAAATTACGAATTTTTCACTTTTTACTTTAGTTTCTTTCACAACAAAAATCTATGAAGCACACCCAAGCCGTTAATTTGAATTGTTAACATTAAACATCAACCGGTAGCTAACAATGATGCTTATACGAAAATCGATAAGCCGTTCGAAAAAAGAATCTTTTTGCATTAAAAAAGTATAAAAAGTTCATTCATATTAATATATAATTTCTTTACTAAATTTGAATTAACCGAACTGCTTTTCA